CATTTCCAAAATAAAACTTTTTAACGGACAAGCTTCCCGCCCCCCCCCCCCGAAATCCCACAAAACCAGGAGGATCCCTCGTCGTCGCAAGAAGAAGAAGACATCGAGCTGCTCTACTACTCTTACGACTACGACTTCGAGGACGGCGGACTGTCGTACAGCTACGAGATGCACAACTTCTGAGCGGGGGAGGTGACTGACGATGCAAGCCGAGCCGGAGAGACGGTCAAGTGTCGGGCCGGTTGCTTCGAGCCTTCTCGGGTGGTTCTTCTTCGGCGATTTCGCCGATATACCGGGGGGTGCGCACAGTAGTGCCCGTTGAAAGGCCACGCACGGTGGGGGACGAGCATGTCGCACGCCCCTCTCTCCCCAACCATTCCTACCCTGGAAGAGTGGTTGGCGGAGAAGAGCGGGGGATAGGTCAACGGCACTCGGACGCTCTGGCAGGCGGAGTTCGCCTTTCTACATTGTTGCCCGTTCAGATGTTTTGTTCGTACAATGTGGTGGAATCGTTGTATAGAGAAGAGGAACAGAGTCCTATCTTTTGCCGGAAAACGTCAGCTCCCTTGGGATGGTTGACTTAGGAAATTGGAGGCTTGTAGCAAAACAAAAGACGTCGAGATAAGTGAGTAGACCTTGGCTCACTCTCGATCCGTGTTTTTCTGACCTACTCGTTCGTTGGCCAAATATATTATTTTAAAGGGCCACAGCCTTGAGCCGTGGTTTCCTCTGGCTACTGTTGTGATGACTTTCGCGATCAGCGAAAAGTCTTTTTTGGCGCACCTTGTGTCCCCTTGGGGTCCACATACAATCACGGTTTATTTTTTTATGCCCTTGACGTGTGTTTACCTCCAAGAAAAGCGGAGCAAAAGCGAAGAGCTTCGTTATATTCACTGTCTTGGTCTGAGGTTTTCTGTGGATGCGTACTACTGTATGTAAAGTGTTTGTTTTGTGCTGTGGATATGAGCGTCGCTATTTCGTTGTGAGGTGCACTTTTTTTCGTCGCGCTATCTGTTGTCGGTGTTATAAATCTTATTCTTGGCCCTTGCTGTGTCGTTTTCTCTTGTGGTGTAGATTTAGAACTGAATTGTCTCACGCGTGCTTCAGGTTCTGCATGCATGCGTGTCGTGTTTGTTCTCCTGCAGTGGGTTTCCATATGACGGTGTTGCAGTCGGTTTTACAGATGACAGCAGTGTACTCGGGTACATCTGTGAAAGCTGGCGGAATAGTGGGATGTTTGCGCAGCCAGGCTCCTAGCGAGGTGGTGGGGACGGGAGGTACTAGTCGTGGTTGTGTTCCGTGCCTGCCCTTCCCTGGTCTCCAGAGAGAAGCAGGAGAAGGCGCATGCCATGATGATGATACCCATCGCGTTGTAGGTGTAATGATGGTTTGGGGTTGGGGGTTTGGGTGGGGGACCATGGTGTCCTTGGACATGACGGTGGCACGGTTGTACAGTACAAAATGGAAACAAAAAACACGCTCGCGACTACATAGTCAGCAGGAAACCCGAATTTGGTATCATTGAGGTACTGCGTCGAAACGTGCTGGGGGGGGAGTTCGGTCGAATCCCCGACATCTTCGATCGTTTTCGATGCACACCCTCGACCCATCTGTCTGCAGTTACTGTGCGAAAGAAAAATTACATCCGTTCTTCCTTCGCGCTGTGTTGCTGCGGCGTGTCGCTCTCTCCAAGGTTTGTGGACTGATGGAGACGGGCCTTAAGGGGTCATCGGTTGTAAATCTCTCATCTACCACAAAGAACATTTGCTGCTACTGTTGTTGCTTCGTACAAGTCGTACGTAGTTTGGTGTTTATTTTGCCGTCCTTGGTGGCAAGGTAGCAGGTGAAATCATTCTTGTTGGCACGGAAACTTTATGCTCAACCACCCAGCTCATCTTCAAACACGGCCCCCGTTGGGAGCGCGACAAAAACCGTGGCCGTGAACTAGGCCTAGACTCTACAAATACAAATTCTGAAGTTTAAACTTCAGGCTCATCGGACCACGAGGAAATCAAATTCATCATGCAAAGCGCAAACAACATAAACACACGCGGACGCACGACGGACTTTTGTGCCTTCCCGCAGCGTTCTTCATGCAGACCGGAAGCTTCAACAAACAAACCACGAGGATTCAAAGCACGGGCCGGTGTTTGACAGGCGAAAGAAACAAGACCCTTGATCTCCCACCCACCCCCGTCCTCTTCTTAAGAGCCGGAATCTCCCTGCGCTGGGTTTCAAGCCAACGCCGCCGCCGTCCCTGCCTCTTCCCCCCCCTCCACTAGCTCCGCCGCCTTCGACTTGAGCGGCACCTCCTCCCCTGCCGCTCCTCCCCCTCCTTCTGTGTCGGCAACAACAACAACAGCGGCAGCAGCAGCAGCAGCAGCAGCAGCAGCAGCTGCCGCATCCTCAGCCTTGCCTGCGGCCGGAGGACTGGTCGGCGGGAGCGGCGTAGACAACGCCACCGCCCCTGATGCGGCGGCCGTTGTTGCTGAAGATGCCGATGCTGGCTGCGACACCGCCCCCGCCGCTCCCGGCGAAGTCGTTATCGTGGCTGTCGGGGTCGGCGGGGCAGAAGGCGCCGCTGGCGCTGGCGCTGGCACTGGAGGTGGTGGTGGTGGCTCGTAGATACCGAGGCTCTGCAAGGCGTTAGGCGGCAGTCGCGATGGTTGTGTGGTGTGGGCGATGCCCGTGTTAGCATTATGTACTGCAGGCCTTGTCGTGTCAATGTCGGCGGTTGTAATTGTTGGATTACCGATTGGGGTAGGCGGGGATGGCGGCAGAAGGAAACAAACGTGGCGAGGCCGAAAAAACAGCGCGCCAAGGGTGGACGGTAGTGATTCCACGCAGGGAAAATCGAAAGAGCGACTCGCTGGGAAGTTCGACGACGCGGCGCCCGCAACGGAGCACGACACATTCATGCAATTTCGTGTCCGCGACCTTTTGTTTGCGGGGATGTGAGAAGGAAGATAGATGCGCACTTCGGAGGATCTTGGAAGCGAACTCACTGCCGCTGACCCCGCAGAACATGTATGCTTTGTCAACTGTTACTATAGAACAGACGTCTTTTACACCAGACGCGCAAGCCACCAATCCCCCTCCTCCGCCACATACCGCAGCCTTTTTCCAGGAAAAAACAAAACAGGCCAAGGTGGTCATGGTAAACCGGCACGTAAACCTCGACAACCACACTCCTTGTCCTTGCACCAGGACCGCGCGAAGATGAACCCCCCCCCTATTTGTTTGTTGCCCACCTCCAAAGACCCCAAAAGCCGAGCACGCAGCTTCTCCGCCCTCTCCCCCGTCGTCACGGCTTTCCCGCCATCGCCGTTAGCAGCGGCGGACGAGGTCTCACCGAACAGGGCCGCGAAGCACAGGGCCAGGTGAGGCACCGCTTGCTCCGCGAGGGCATCGCAGGCCAGCCCCAAGGCACGAAAGGTGGTGTTGACGTGCAGCTCTCCTCCGTTCCCAGCCGCGGCCCCCCCTCCTCTCCCCGAAGGAGGGCCACTGCCGACACCACCCTGCGTGTCGTGGGGGGGGGGGGGGGGTGCGCAGATTGCAACAAGAACAAAACAAAATCAGTGGTAGCGTTTTCTTGCGCACAGGTAGATGCTTGCGGCAGAGACAGGTAGCAGCAGAAAAAACGACAAGAGAGTGGCGGTCGTAAACTTACGCGGCAAAGATCTACACGGGGACTGTGCTTACCGTTGCAGTCGGCGACCCCGAGTTGGGTACGGAGGCAGAGGCGGCGGCCGCGTTGGTCCTCAAGGTGGTCTTCTTTAGCTCCGCCAGGCCGCGGAAGGCGTCGGTGAAGGAGAGCACCAGGGCGTCCGCCAGCCGGCCTTCAACGGAAGAAGGGAGGCACTATCGTAGCAGCAGCAGTCGCGGTTGGCGGAAAAACGGAAGCAGCAGGAAGTGTTGGTCATCATCGCCGTCGTCGTCATCGTAGTCGATAATAGTTTGGTCGTTGCTGAAGTCGATGTGCAGGTTGTTCTCATCGTTGTCTAGTTTCTCTAGTTGGTTGCAATTGTTGGCTCGAGGCGGTTGCATAGACAAGGTCGCGGCTGGTACACAACACGTCGTATCAACTTTCGTGACCATTCGCCCCGCTCCCTGCTACTGCACCCGCGACCAGTCTCTCTCTACAGCAGCGCTCGGCCGGATGGGCCGATCACCAAGGAATAACTTCCGCGGTGAGGAACGAAGCCCGAACACAGAGGCACAAAAAAAAAAGGGAAGGACAATATCCGACTAAATATGTGCCGCGTTTGCTTCAGATCTGCTTCTCAAGTTACGGTGGTGCTTCAGATGCACGCTTGCATCAAGGCACGAACCGGGGACATGGCCTTCGCGCACACGGGTTACAACACAGAGCCGTTAGTCCCTCAAAACCGGCCATAGCCTGGCCCTTCAAGAAACAGAAATAACGAAAGAGGAGATGGACGCCTCAAACTACAACAGGGCGCCGCCACGGCCTTAAAAACAAGAACAAAATGAAACATTTTCCCACCTCCCGCAGCTGATTGAATGACGTTAGCACCAGGTTCAGCAGCCGCGCCACCGGCGGGAACGCCATCAGGGACCGAGGAGGGGGAGGGATCCCCCCGTCCCCCCCGTACAGCGCCGCCCTCCTTTCCGCCTCGGCAGCGGCAGCGGCAGCGCCGGCGCCGCTCGTGCCGTGCCCGTTGGCAGGGCCGCCACGGGACGTTGTGATCGTCGATCTGTCCGGGACGTGGAGGAGGGAGGCGCCGTTGCCTCCGGCAGCCTCGATGGCTGTCGCGTGGATGAGGGGATTGGTGGATAGGGGGCAGCGTGAAAAAACACTATAATTGCGGCTGAAAAACTACTATCGGTGTGAAAAAACACAAGCGGCGTAAAAAACAAACTATGGCAGTAGCGTGAAAACCACTGTAAGTGGCGTGAACTGAACGCTCGCCGTGATGTGTTCTTCCATGTCCGGACCCTCGTGTTTCTCGGTGTTACGTATTCTGTCCGGCCAAGCCCAGTCATGCGAAAACCCAAGGGCGGTAGGGAGTCCGTACGAGCTCACACCAAAGACGGCACATTCAAGGTAGCAGCGACAGAGGCGGCGAGATTTCGTTGTACCGGCAACATCTCGAAGAGTCACCACGAACTCGGCGGACGCCGTCGCCCACTGCGCCGCCGCCGCGCCGCTGACCCTCTCTTCGAAAACTGGCACCAGCAACCCCCGGAAGTCCGTGCCCAGCCTCCCCATGCTCGCCCCGAAGAACATGCACTGGAACGCACCCGCCACCCGCGGGGAACGACGACAAGGGTAGCGGAAGGAGACAGAACAAAAGAAATGAGTGCGTGAAAAGTGAGGAGAGGCGGGGGGCAACGTGCACTCGGATACAGACGCGGCTGAGTTGTTGTTGTTGTTGTTGTTGTTTTGTTATTTGTTTTGTTGTTTTGTTATTGTTGTGGTTTTGAAGAGCAACCACATACTCAGAAGACAGCAGCAGCAAAATCAACTCAGTAGTTTTTGAAGAGCAACCACATACCCAGACGACAGCAGCAGCAAAAGCAACACAGTAGTTTTGAAGAGCAACCACATACACCCAGAGGACAACAGCAGAACAAACGCAACAACAACAACAACAACCACAGCCACTGAAGCAGCACCACACAACATGATCGCACACACAAACCTCTTCCAAGAGGCTCCTCAGCAAACCTCCGTCCTCGACGAGGGGTAGAAGGCCCTTCAGCTGCTCCACAAACGCGCTAACTCTCCGGAGCAGCCACAGCGACAAGATATCCCCGCTGCTTTCCCCAACACAGCGGACGAAATGCGGTGACGGAAATTGGGGTGGTGGTGGCAGGCGGGAGGGGTGGGGGGTGCGTAAGCTCATGATTTGCATGTCTTACATTGAGCACGCGTCCTCGCGAGGATAGAACATTGTCAAAACGGGGGGGGGGGGGGTCAAGAATAACATAATAGGGGTTGTATTGTCTGTGTGCGCGCGTGTTATTTTTTACTAGGACCCATCGCGCTAGATTAATCGATTGATCCATGGAAACGACTTGAAACGTTAACGTTAGACTCATAGGGCAGGGGCACAAACGCGAAACACGCCGTGCTTTTTGAAATACTTGGAATGAACGTGATGTCTTTATTCGCTTACAACGAGTGACACGGGGTATTGCGGTATGCATATCACAAACAAGGGGAAAGGGGGTGGAAGGAACCGGCTGTTCTTCGCAGCCTGACAATCATCCTAACCCTTCTCAGCCACGAGACTAGTCACCGCGCCAGCCGCTTGCGGCGATTGAGCCGCTTCCTACGTCTTGCCACGTCCGATCATGTACAACGTTGCACTGTACATTTTTGACTGTGTGTCATCCCATTGGAATCACCTATTTCCTCATCACCCAGCAGGAGCAGCAGCAAAGGTCTCACCTGTCTCGTCCGCTACCGGTGGTCAACCCTTCGCCCACACGGGGCGAGGAAACCGCCGACTGACGCGCGGCTGTTGCCGACCCTCCGCCGCTCCCTTCCACAGACAGAAAAATGGCCCTGAACTGTGTAGCCACCTCGAACCACTGCGATCGACAGCTCTCGATCAGGTCCATGAGAGCCTGTCAAGTCAAGGACGCACAACCGACGGTAATATCGGTTACAGAGTAGAGAGGCGATACCGTTATACGTCATCCCCACTTCAACGAGATTGTCGTAGGCACGCCTGGAATGACACACAACTTCCATGGCGGCACTGCTGCTGCTGCTGCTGCTGCTGCTGCTTCGTCAGGAGGCCTACCCACCACGAGTTCGCTTCGTGCCGCAAAGATGCGATGCACTCTCGTGTACACCCGCCGGTCTGACCTCTTGACCGCTTGGAACAACATTAACAACAACGACGACAACGACGACAACAACAACAACAACAACAACAACAACAACAAGCAAAACGACTCGAGCCACTTGCGCGATATCCAGCCGGTGGCCAAGTACACCACGTACACACCCGTTCCCTGTCCCCCCCCTTGCAAACCTGGTAAGGACCCGAAGAAGCCGTGTTTGCTGCCGCGCCGAGCGCCTGCTGCTGCTGCTGCTGCTGCTGCTGCTGCTGCTGCTGCTGCTGCTGCAAGTCGCCCCCGCCCCCGTGGCCGCCTGCCCGGCTAGCGGCGTCGGCTAACCAAGCATCTCTAGCCTCCAAGAAATCCACCTATTTACATACACACCATCGGAAGATCGAGTTTCAATGCAGCGCCGGGACATTGGAGTGGATTTTTTCGCAAGACATATAAGAACGAACAAGATCGAAGAGACCATCAGCAGTCGTGACGACACACACCACTCAAGCTTCGGTCGGGGCCAGGAGAAACGCCGCTCGTGGGTTTCCACAATATCTTCTCTCCGTCTCGGGGTCGCGAAGTGGTTTGTTTCTTGCAACCTTTTTTGTCGCACACACACGTTTTCTGTGTTCGGCCGAACTGAGACTGACGTCTTTGCATTGGTCAGCCGGTTAGCGCGGTCGATGAAAAAAAACAAAAACACCCAGCCACACGCGCGCGTGCGACCCTCCATCACGAGGCCCCGGCTCACGGCCTTAAGAAGCGTTTCCCCGTTCTTAGCCGCACTGACACTGGCCTCTTAGCATTGGTCAGCCGGATACAGCAGCGCGGTTGGTGCTGAAAACAAAGACAAACACACAATCTCTAACGTCCAATCTCCTCCGCGGAACCCCGTGCCGGGGGGGGAGCCCGCAGACAAGAAAGCGGTGTACGCAGCGGTCATGGTCCCGCCTCACAGACGGAACGCGCGCACTCTTGGCCCCGCTTCAAAGACGGAACGGACGTCTTCTTCTCTTCCGTCAGTCAGATAGCGCGGTCGATGCTCACTCCAAGACACACGCACCACAGGCACACACACAACGCACACACCTGAAGCTTCATTTCCACGAGCGCGAGCTGCCGCTGGCTGACACCACCTCCTCCGATCTTGGCGGCTCCCATCGCCGCCACTTCTCGCTTGCTGCCGCTGCCGCCGCCGCCGTTGCTGTTCTTCAGCGGCGACCCCTTGGCATCTACGTCTGCCTTACGCGCTAGTGCCCGCTGCCGCTGCTTCTTTTTCTCGGTCTTCTCCTCGAGGGCAAGGATCTCCAGGCGCCGCAGGCAGGATACGACCTGTTTGGTTTGATACATGATTTAGATTTTTTTTGCCGTACGGTCGTGGCTCGGAAATGAGAGGGTGGTGTGACAAAGGCCCTTGACCCTGTTGTACCGTAATGATAGGGTACCCAACATACTTAGCGGGTCGAGTCCGTGACTACCGATTTTGACACCCTTGTATTGGAGGCCCTCTCTTATAACGTACCCTCCTATGTCGGAGCCAAGACTGAACCAGAACGTCTCGGGATCACTCATGAGCATGCACAAGGTCCTGCCAGCTTGCCCTGCCGAAACGATGCAGTCTACTGCCAATGCAGCGCGACGTGGTGGTGGGTAGCTGACTTGGAGGGCAACCACCATAGTTTCGGAGCCTGGGATAGAGATACACATGCGGGTCCTGAAGCGGCTCCGACATCATACACAGGACGCAATCTTTGGTCTGTATACCGTGGGTTGTTGCATGACGTAAGACGACACATTCCCTGGGCGGGTTTTCAAAGCTCGATTTCTCCACGACAAACATGATGCCAAAACAGCAGTGTGAAGCATTTTCTCAAACCTCTCGACGAGATGGATTCGATGCCACATTCTCGGCACTGCCACTCTTTTCAGCTGCAGAGTAATCGAGATTTTGAGAAACAGTCCAGGGGGTGTGGTACCTTACATCATATCACCTACGGTAGTACTGCGATGATGGTTTTCGGGCTCTGATACCCGAATGGTAGATCCCACGCCGTCGCACGCCAGATTAACTTTCTCAGTTGCAGGCGCAGCAGCAACAACTAATGTACTACCACCGTGCGCCAAAACACGGGCACAGACGTACCTGCAGACAGCTGGTTAGCTGGATGGGGCCACGGAGCTTGGCGACCAGCCTCTCTTGCAACCCCCTCGCGCTCTCTCGCACCTCCTCCACGATCATCTTGATCACGCCTTTTGTTGGGTTGATGCACACGGCGCGAGAGCGGTAGAGGGGACGGCGGCAGGATGGACGAAATGTTAATTCACGCAGCGTGGCCGCGAACATCAGCGTTTCCACCCGAAAGTATCCACACTTGCTGCAGCCGTCGCTGTACATCAGGTCGTGCCCAGCTCTTGCCGCCGCAAGATTCAGCGCGCCATCAGATGGACCAGTGCCCTCAGTGACAGCCGTCGCTGTACACCGTAGGTTGCGCGAAACTCTTCCCATTGAACCGCCTGAGCTCATGACCTATATTCACATGTTAAGTTTCACGTACCTGGGAGGTGTCCCTCGATGGGCTCGTCTTTCGCTGCGGTATCCCCTCCGACGCTAACACAGAAAGAGGAGGGGAGCGGGGCAGGAAACAAGAGAACGGCAGAGAGAAGAGAGAGAGGGGGGGGCAAACATAGCGAGGCAAACAAGACGTGCTCAGCAAACGATGCCTCGTGTGTAGGGAGCCACCACCTTGAACAGGTCTAACCGAGTATTTTGAAACGGTGGGGTATTCCTCGCGTCACTCAGTGGGATGTTCCGGTCTGCCTCTTTGGCTTCAGAACGCTGACGCCAAAATCAACGCCAGCGCGCTTATACGCACCCCCCCTTGCTCAGGAGGTGGACGCATGGGCCCAGAAAGAAGAAGATACATCGAAGGCAAACGTTGGGAACGTACAAGTAGAAAAGGAGTTCACTGAGGACGAGGTTGAGGCGTGTGTGAGCAAGCTGCAGTGCCAAAAAGCAGCAGGGGCGGATGGAATAGTCAACGAGTTCATGAAGTTTGGGGGGAAGGGGATGTTCCAGCTGTTGGTACTGCTGTACAACTGGGTGTGGAAAAACGAGTATGCGCCAAGTAGATGGAGGGAAGGAGTGGTTGTGAACTTGTTTAAGAAAGGAGACAAGACTGGCCCAGGAAACTACAGGGGTATCACACTGTTGAACACAGGAGGAAAAGTGTTTTGTTAGCTGCTGAACGATAGGATAGTGGGAGTATCGGAGAAGGAACGTAGAATTAGTGAGGGCCATGCACGTTTCCGACAGAAGAGGGGGTGCGTAGACCACGCATTCACCGTAGGGAGAATCATCCAAGGTACAAAGAGGGCGGGAAAGCCGACGTACTGCTGCTTCCGGGACGTGAAAAAGTCATACGATACCGTATGGAGAAATGGGCTGTGGAAACAATTGTCCAAGTACGGGATCAAGGGGGAAATGGGGAGAGTGCTGAAGAAGATGACAGAGTGTACGAAAAGCGCGGTCACGCTAGACGGAGAACTGTCTAAATTCTTCGACATTGAGCAGGGGGTCCCACAAGGTTGCACACTGTCCCCAACATTGTTCCAGGTGTTCATCAACGATCTGTTGGAAGTCGTAGAGGCAGTCCGGAAGGGAGTAAAAGTAGGGGACACGGAAACTTCGGTGTCAGGAATGCTGTTTGCGGATGATGTTGTTGGTATGTCGGACACCCCTGAGGGACTGCAACTCCAAATTGACGCGGCGAAGAAGTTTACTGATAAATGGAGATTGTCTGCCAACGGTAAGAAGAGTGCCGTCATGGTATGTAAAGAGGTCAGGGAGGAACCAATAGAACATAGACGGAAGTGGGGGGTCGAGGAGATTGCAGTAGTGGACCAGTACACATACCTCGGAGTAGAGATCGCAAAAGACTGCTCGTGGAATGCACACATGTCCAAGGTAGCGGAAAGGGCAAAGCACGAGCAGGGAAGCTGCACCCAATACTCGCAAACCGGCACCTCGATACACGCCTCAGATTGACGGGTTTGAAGAGCGTAATCGTACCGCCGCTAGAGTACGCCAGAGAATTATGGGAAGGAAATAAGAACGTAGTGAAAGAACTCGAGGCGGCGCAGATGAAAGCAGCGAAAGGATGCTTCAAGCGCACAAGTGATGCAGCCGTCAGGGCAGAATTGGGGATCCAATCCCTGCGGTCGGGAAGAGACGCAAGGAAGCTGACATGGCAGTATCGCATGTGCGGGATGGGAGAGGAGAGGTTCCCGAGAATAGTATGGGAGGCGAAGTGGGCAAAAAAAAAGAGGGGTAGACAACCCACGGAATGGGTCAAGGTTGTAGTGGACGTATGGAAGGGGTTCGACATCGACGAAGATGAAACGCTGGAAACCGAGGGTCTACAGGGGTTCAACGAGAAGATATCTGTTGCTTGTGCCGAGAGAGAAAAACAGAATCTAAGGAAAGAAATCGAGGATAAGGAGGGTCTAGAAGTGTACGGAATACTGAAAGAAGGAATAGGGTTCAAGGATTACCTACATGGACCAATGGATGCAGGGACAAAGCTTAAGGTCAAATTCAGGACCAGGGACATAGGCCTTCGAGAACGCCGACGAAGACATAGGACGGTAGACGACGAAGATGACAAGTTCAAATGTGATTGCGGCTTCGAATGCGAAGACCGTGTTCATGTAGTCGCGGAATGTCGGCTGTACAATAAGGAGAGGGAAGTGTACATGACTGAGCTGGGAAAAATACAAGGGAGGTACAGGGAGATGGTTGAGGCATGGAATAGAGAGGAGAGGACGGTAGCTGTACTGGGGAGTAGGAAGTGGTTTGAAAAGGCGGGACATCGTTAGGAAAGACAGACTAGGGAAGACATTTTTTAGTCACCTTTGGCAAAGTAGGAAGGAACGATTGGCCAACGGTGATCGGTCCTGTGGGAACAATGCTCCGTCCTCTCGAGGACGCGTGGTCAATGGTCTATCCGCTAAGACATGCAAAACATAAGAGTACGCCCCTCCCCCCGCCCCCCCCCTTGCCCATTCCCTACTGACTGGAATACTTCCTCCCACAAACTCGATGTCGCTACATCTTCAAAATCCAAAAGAAACAACAACCAAACCATTCGTGCATGTCGACACGAAACGGCCAGGAATATCGTGCAACTCCGGCGTGGTCTCCGTCTCACCTGCCGACGGGCGCGGATGGCACCACTCGGCGACTTCGGTGCCGCCTCTCCAGGGTAGAGGCGAAGGTGGCGATGGAGAGGGCTTCCTCCATCAGGTCGCTGCGCACACACGCGTCCATCAGCTGCGGCACCTCCAGCAGCTCGACCAGCTGCCGTGCGGAGCGTCAAAACGCGTTTTCAAAAAATGCGTGTGCATGCCCAAAATCATGTGAGCGGCGACGCGAAAGAGTGCCGCTTGCGGCTGAATTTTCGTGCTCACGATCATTCTTGCACCAGTACGAATCGCAAAACCATGTGGTCGGTCGCTGTCTGCCATTGGCGAGAACAGCAGCAGTTGCGTCGCACACAACCTCTGTGTCTCTTTTGCGCGTGCGTTGTGGTGCGTCCTCTGTTTGTTGCTCGTGGTTTGGTGTTATGGATTCGGAACATGAGAGGAGTGAGGGGTGAGACGTCCGAACCGCATGTACCGCAGCGAAGTTGCATGTCGGACTTCAAGGCCGGCCGTAACAAATTGCGCAGAGAACGCCGTGCTCACGACGTTGCCATCGCTGGCAGCGCCGTCTCCACCAAGGAGGTACGATCTGAGGGTCTCGCAGAACAAGTTATCTGCGCCATAAGTAGATAATATGCACGCGCAACTCTTATGGCCAGAAGGGTTCAGAAAAGTTCAAGTTTCTTCTCGCTCCGTGCGAACAGCCTCCACACGCTAATGCTAGAGGAGAAAATGCAACCAGTGCCCATGCCGCTTCAGAACATTCGCTGATATGTATCCTAGGGACAGGGGGGGGGGGTGCTTGTAGTACACGGCATTGCGCGAGCCTCCTGCAACGAAAAGGAGCACCTGTAATTTGATAAAGCTGATGTAACTAAGACACGCGACAAAACACAGAGCTCAAATTCGCCTGGTTGAACACCTCCGGTAGCCACGAGATACAGATACCTCCCACGCAGGTTCATCATGTCAACTCCAGCTCTACCACTACGCCGAGAAACCCGTTGCCAACGAAGCAAAACGACAACCTCAAATGGTCACAAAGAGCCGCGTTTTGTGGAGAGCAAAACCGCCCGGGGCTGCTGATCCATCTACTCAGCCCATAAACGTGCCTGCATGTGGTGCTTGAGGGTCTGCCTGTTCCTCTTGTGCCCTCCCACGAGTTCCGCCGCCTCCCGCTGAAAAACGGAGAACTCCGCGCCCAGCCCGTGGACCTCCGTAAGCAGCGACGCCAGGTGCCCCTCCATCTCCTTCCCCTGCGCCCGCACGTGCCGAACGCACTCCTGGTTCTGTATGAAAACTCTGTAGTGGTCGAGACTGAGCGTGTGCAGAGCCTGCCGCACAAGGGGTGCGGAGCGGGTATGGGGGGCGGGGGGGGGGGGGTACTCATGTGTTACACGCCTTCTGCTTGTTTAGACCATTGACCACGCGTCCTCCAGAGGACGGAGCATTGTTCCCACAGGACCGATCGCTATCTATCTGTCTGGAAAAAAACCAGGCAGTGCCCCGGGCGCTTTCTCCAGCTGAAAATGCAACAGCTGTACAGCACGCGTGTGGCTGGGTATCTCCGCATTTGCCGGCGTGACTACAATACATGCACCACCCCCACGTGCTAAGAATCCAACCTGGGAGAGGGGACCTTTTGGCCTCCATGGCCTTGTTGGTTGCCAACGTGCTGTTGCTACATACTGTTGCTGCTTTTTTTGCATGGCGTGCTGACGAAAACACGTGCCCACGGCACGCACCCGTACGGACAGGCGGGCGTCTTAACCCCAAACACAGCAGCGGCACCGGTGGCAAAATATCTACGGCGTACGCTAAGGACGTGAGAGGAGAGCGTTCTTTCGTTCTCACAAGGGCATTTTCAGAATCGCTACATGCCGTAGTGTACGAGCACACACAGGCGTGCGCTTGTAGTAGACAGACATCGAAGTCGCAGTGAAATATCTGCCGATTTTTTTACTGCACACACCACGCACGGGCACGAGCGTGCGTCGGAACAAGCGAAGCTCCTTCTTCTTCTGCGGCGGCGGCGGGGCTAAACAGCAGTCAGTGATTGAAATGGAACATCTCCGATCCTTCAGGAGGACTGACCTCGTCGACAGCTATCGCCTCGGCGTGCAAGCGTCCGGGCTCGTTTTGCAAACGCTCCAGGCCAAGGGAAGCCAGCGAGTGGACGTACGCCTCGGAGAGCTCCACCGGCTCCTGTTCCTGTTCCGCATGGTCGCCCTCCCTTGCTGCCACAGCAGCAGTAGCGGAAGCACTCATTATCGAGAGTAGAGGTATTCAAATGATATAGGCTCGTCTTTTGAAGCAACCTTTAGTCCATTCCCGCAGCAGCAGCAGCAGCAGCAGAGAGGCGTTCAGCAGCCTGGCACACAAGAGAAACCCTCCAACAAGGGACACGAACGGTGGCAGGGTCGCTTTGCACGCTGCGCTGCGCAGCCTGGTGTGCCTGGTTCACACTCTCCTGAAGGACTACACTAGCATACCCCCCCATTCCTAGCTGCGGGCCCGCGGTTCTTGCCCCCCCCGCGTGCCCACGTGTCTCCCTGCAGCTGCCGTGCCACCATCAAGGACGTTGACGGCTCTCACCTTGGTACGGGACAGTCCCGTGGCGGGAATTTGAAATCTAGATCAACGAAGGTGTGTGTGCGTTCTCTGCCTGGTGTTCGGGGGTGCGGTGAAGCTGTTGCTCCTCTTTGGTCTCTGTTTTTTGGCACGGGCTGCTCAAGAGATGATGTGGTGTGACATCACATACGTACACCGTGAACCTGCTCTGTTTGAGATGAGAGACGGAGCAGTACAGCAGCAATGCTGTAGCCGAAGTCGCAAGGCCTGCTGGGACGCCAGTTCCACAGCCGAGCTCGTACATCTGTAGTCGCACACGCTGCTGTTCATGGCACGCCTCTCACACACGGCCTTACTTTGCACCACGCCTATGTACTACGCTTGGATTCGAAGTACACGTGTCATGCGCCTTGATTGTTGTCTCGCGATGATTTTTCGCTCGCGCTGAGGAAGCTCTGATGCTGGTATGTACATACATTGCACGCCGCTGTAGATAGTAGTTGCTCTTGTGTTGACTGTCAATGGCTTGCTTTCATAAACTGCTGCGTCGTATGCATATTGCTTCGGTGATGAAGCGGCCACAGACATTCCTCGACACAACTCAGTTCGAACTTTGGACTTCGTCAACCGGCATGTATGCAACCCCGTCCCACGTTCGCCAGCCCCTGTGCTCTGCTGCTGCTGGGGGGACATCCGATGTCGTTCCAAGCTGGCGATGAGCTGGGAGTTTCTAGTCCTTCCGCAGCTTCCACCCATGAGGTACAATTCTCCTGCTTCAAAGAGCTCGGTAAAATCAAGTAACCGATAGGCTGCTTGCTTCTGCCGTAACGGCCTCTATTATAGCCATTGCTCATGCTGGCCGTAAGCGGCGCCCGTGTATGCACCGTATGTGACGCACACCGTATGACGGCGCTGCTTCCTATGGACCGCGTAGACTTTCCTTACGTCTTGCGTACGTGCTTGCTTCTTCGCTCGCCGCCCTATTTCCTATTCAGCAGCACGGTCTCAACCTCCATGACCCGGCCTCGCCGGCATCTTCAGCGGCACCGGCGACGGCAGTAGCAGCAGCAGCAGCAGCAGCAGAGGGGTTGCACAACTATCCTTCTTCCGCTGCACTCCTGCCGCCGGTGCTACCGACGCTATCGACAGACATTTCACCCGTGGAAGAAGAGGAGGTGGGACGTTCCCCCCCGGCGTCTTCCGCCGCCGCCGCCGCCGCCGCCCACGCCTCGGCCGCACTATTCTTGGGCCCCTTGGCTGCGGAAGAGGAGGGGACTGCCGTGCATGCTTCTGACTTTTCCACTGCTGTCCATTCCTCAGCGTTATCCACGATCCCTGAAGTTGGTGACACCGAGGTCGTTGCCGCTACCACCGCCCCGGCTGCCACGGCAGGCCTAACCTCCTCGGCGGCCCTAAGGCTGGCGACGGGCCTGCCGGCGGATGGTGTGGGAGAGGCGGTAACGCCTTTCGCGGAGGTTTACGAGCAGCCCGGGCTTCCGCCGCAGGGGGTGCTGGACACCATGCCACCAGCACCTCCGCAGCCGCCGCCACCACCACAGGAGCCGTTCTTCCGGGAATTGGAGGCACCGCAGCAATTGGGGCAGCAGCAACAGCAACAGCAGGAGGAGCAGCAGCAGCAGGAGCAGCAGGAGCAGGAGCAGCAACAGCAGGAGCAGGAGCAGCAGCAGCAGCAGGAGCAGCAGCAGGAGCAGCAGCAGCAGGAGCAGCAGCAGCCAGAACGACGTCGCGGAAGAGTACGGCAGAGGCAGGCGTCAAAGCCGGAGCCGCAGCCGAGGTCCCAGCGCAGACAGCCCAAACTAGAGCCGCGGCAGATAGCCCCGATGCCGGAAACCCCGCCGATGTTCCCGCTGCAGCTGCAGTTTCCTCTGCCCGGCTCGTCCGCCGCCGCCGCCGCCGCCGCGGCGCTGCCGCTCACCTCTCCGCTGTTGACGCAGGCCCTCGTGAGCAACTTGAGTCGGTTTCCGGCGGTGGCAGGGATGGCGACACCGCCAAGCTCTGGTCTACTCTCGTTCGGTGCCACAGCGCAGAGCGCGGCCTCTGTTCCCCTAGCTGTTCCTCCGGAGGCGGTTCGCGGTAGTTCATCCGCTCCGGGAACTGTGGCCAGCCCCCGTGACCCTTCTGCCGTCGTGCCGGCACATTCCCTGTACAACTACGGGGGTATCTTCGCGCCCCCCGCCACGGCCTCTGCTCCCGCTTCTCCCACGTTGGCGATACCGTCCGCTGCTGCTGCTGCTGCTGCTGCTGCTGCTGCGGAAATCTCTACGCTACCGCTCTCCGCCCTATCAGCTGTTGTTGCTCCTTTTTCTACAGCAGCTGCTGGTGCTTCTATCCCTGCTCCTGCTCCTGCCTCCACTGCGCCTAATGCTGCGGAGCAGCCGACGGCGAGTGCGGCGGCGGCGGCACCGGGCGCACCCCTCCTCCTAGCACCCACCCCTCCGCACAACAGCCTTTGGCCGATTGCACTAGCAACGCCGGACCAGATTCGACGTCCGTTACCGAGCTTTGTAGGTTTGCATGGGGACGCGCCAGATGCTACAGCGGTCGAGACGACGGCTGCGGCGGCCGCGGCGGTGGCGGATGTTCCTGCGATGGACCTCTTGAGCCCGTTGCAGCCTTTCCACCTGAGTGACAACCATGATCAGCAGCAGCAGCAGCGGGGGCAGACTATGCAGCAGGAGCTCGAGCTGTTGAGGCAAGAGCAGGAACAGTTGCATCAGCAGATACGGCAGCAGCAACAGCAGCAGGAGGAGGAAGAGAGGCAGCAGCAGCAGCAGCAGCAGCAGCTACAGCAGCGACGGCGCCAGCGCGGCATCAACCGGAAGAGCAAGACCCGAACTCCGCCGCAGCCGCCGTTGCCGTCGCCGCCGCCATTGGCGGAGGTGACGATGAAAGGTAACGCCCCCTGGACAGCCGAGGAGAACGACCGGCTAAGGGAGGCCGCCAGCAGGCACTCCCTCAAGCACTGGAAGCAGATCGCGAGGAGCGTGCCCGGGCGCACAGCCGTGCAGTGCCTCCAGCACTACAAGCACGTCCTCCACCCCGGCATTGAACGGGGCTCTTGGACCCCCGCGGAGGTAGAGGCGTCGCAGAATTGTTAGGGAGGGGGGGGGGGGGGGGATTCACCGGCGGCTGGTCTGGCTCGTAGTTCGGGGGCAGACGTTGTGCCATGTGGCATATGTCGTGGCGAAGATAACTCTCCTCTGTGTTATGTTGTTCTGTTGCTTGTCAGGTGTATTCCTCGAGCCGCCTTGTATGTCAATTTCTCCTTCGTTTCCGTTTGGATCTATCCATTCTAAGATCCAAAACTTGCACATGTTTTTTTTGTTTTTTTCCAGGACAAGCAGGTGATGAACCTGGTGGCAATCCACGGGACTAAAGTGGTCCAAGATCGAAGCCGAGATGCCGCGGCGTCTCGGAAAGCGAATACGCGTAAAGATACGTGAATCACCTGGACCCAAGGTGTGTGTGAACGAAGACTTCGAGAAGCAACGCGACGGTCTGCGATGCCCCCCCCCCTCGGTTGAACTGCGTCTCCCCCTCTCCTGATACCCCCCCCCCCCACTCCCCCGGTGTTTGCCATCTGGGGTTTGGGTTTTCGTCGCTTGGCAACGACGTTGTAAAACAAGCCCCCCACTCGGTGTTTGCCATCGGGATTGGGTTTTCGTCGCTTGGCAACGACGTTGTAAAACAAGCCAATTCACTTCGTGAACTCGGCAACCAGGTTACCGTTTTTTTTTTTTACCTCGTTTTTTTTTTTGGCGGTAACCGTAATGGTGGTCGAGTAGATCATGTTGTGCGGGGTCGAGAAACCTCACTCCGCGCAACGGGGGATGATCACACCACGTTGTGTTAAAATGGTCAAGCTTCCTCGAGGCAGTTACACAGTGCTTACAACTGTCTCTGGAAGTGAAAGCACCAGAAAATAATTAAGTCATACGTAGCTGTCATCCGTACGCAAGGAAGTAAGCACAAGATGCCGAACACCCTTAGCAGGATGCAGCTCACTCTTCATGCGACTCGCCAAATACCTCACGGCGCTTCGCGCTTGGTGATGTGAGAGCCTGGTCCGGTGAGAACCCGGCGTGCTCCGTCCCGGCTTTGTAGGGATGCGAGGTCAATGGTCAAACGACTACGGCATGCACGACTATGAGTACACCCCCCCCCCCCCCCCCCCCCCCCGCCGGGGCGGG